TCAAAGCCTGTTATCTGCTTGCAAATTCTATGTTATCACACTCAAAACATTCAGGATTAGTCCAGCGTCAACTCAGCAACAACCTTCACTTTTAAATGGTACAGATTTAGGTCTCAGTTTATATAATTTGAGTAGAAGGGGCAGGTTCTAGTCTTGTGTCACATGAAGGATTTGTACTTTCTGTGAGTTTAAAGGAATCAAGACAATGGACGCTTCTAATTTGGCAGGTTTTTTATTCTTATTTTTAATGTGTTGGCACAGAAGTAGTGAGTACTGTACAATCAATATAGAGCGTCTTTTAAGTATCTTTCATGCCTGGATATACATCTGGAACTGTTTGCTCTAACTGAAAGTAAAATAAATGCCACAGCATATTATACCATACTTTTTTTCATTTAAAAAAGGAAATTGAAAACACACCACCCCTTGAAATGCTTGACGTTGAATTGGCTATTGAAATGGTATCAGTAAAGTATTTATATATTCCATATTTTGTTCCATACATCAGCTTTCCTTGATGCGTTAGACTTGGAAGCATGCCACATGAGCTGAAATGTTGCCATATATGAAAGACTGCCTTGTTTTAAAAAAGGACTAAATCATTGAGGCTACAGGAAGTAAAGTAAATCAGTTTGAATACATGCACATCTCTTTTTGCTCGTGCTCTTGCACTTTTTACTTTGTGTCGTCCACATTTACCTTCAGAAGTTGGCCAGGTTTACGGTAAATATCAACATTCACCTAACATCTAAGTAATAGTGATAAAAATAACTCCTCCCATAAAAAACTGTATGAATGACAAGAACTGTATGGTTTCACGAACCAAGAAATCCGCAGAAGAAATATCGTAATTTAAAGCTGGTTTTACAACATTCTTTAATTTTAAATGGAGCAAAATATTTCTGTGGTAAAGTCACAGTTCTTCACTCTTTGCTGTAAAAGAGATTCAAGAATGTATATTTCAGATTTTTTTTTCAGTATAATCCAAAGCAAATGCAGTAGATCTCTGCATACTTGAAACATATTTTCTGAATTTATTCTAAGTCTCTCACTGCACCAGAGAGTTGTGTGTATGGATTAGGACTAGCCCATTATTTCACCATCTATTTCCATCCTGAATTGATTGCAGCGAGTAGTAAAGAATGAATTGCAGATGTCTCCTTTTCTCTTTGGTTTGGAGGACCTCTGGTTTCAGCCCAATTTTATGAGAACTAGGCTAAGGAGTCTGACTTCATCACTGCTTAGAAGGTTTCTGTCTATAGAAGAAGTCTTTGCATCTGAAACAAGTTACTGTCTCTGTATACGCAGCCGGCACACTGAAATGGATGATGTTGTGAGCAATTTTCTATCACATCTCTCCTAATTTGGGATTATTATTTGAAATGTCAGATTCCAACAGAAAAAAATAGCAAAGGCTGCCTTGCAAATGGGGAGTTTGTTTTGACACGAGAACATAAACATATTTGGAATTCAAGAAATTAAGTGATTTTAAGAGATGTTTCCCTTAAAGCTCTTCCAAATTTTAGGCAAAGCTCAAGAAGTATGTTCCTGTGTTAGAGGGCAGATGTACCTGAAGTCTGGAACAGGCAGGATTTCACTCATAAATGATGCAGTTTTTCCTTTTGCAGGATTCCATCTACCCCTCCCATCCCTTCATCACCTCTGAATATACAGTTAGCAGAATAACCACAGAGAGCTGCTTTTAAAAATGTGAAACCTCTCATATAACAAGGTTTAGGGGCAACCTGGCTCATGAATAAATGCAATTTAAATACTGCTTTGATTTTAGCTTGCATATTTTTGGGTTACTTTTCAACAATTAGAGTAAAAAAAATTGTTCTGTTTTGTTTTAAATTAAACTAGTAATGATTTGTAGGAGGTGAGGTTCTAGGCTATGTTTCAGACATTACAAGCTTTGTGAGTTCAGGTGACAGAGACTGCCAGCTCTGCTGTGTGCTCCTTCACCACTCCATCTCCAAGAAGCCTTCTTCTGAAAACTTTAGCAGCTGAGGTCCTCCAGGCTGGGTGCTGGGATAGAGCTGGGTGCAGAGCATCCGGTGCAGTGATGTGCATCTTCTGCAGGAGCTGGGGAATCTGTCACAGAGGTGAGGAGCAGAGAAACACCAGCAGAAAGGACAGAGAGGCTCCTGCAGGAGCTTTGCTACTGAAGAGGCTAGAAGGATGGGAAGTATGAGAGAGCAGTGGGGCAGGATGCTTTTCAGGGCTGTTTCCAAGCACATGGAAAAGTTTTGCATTTTATACCATACTTCCACAAAATTTTCCTTTTTTTTTTCTTTTCCTCCCCATCTCTCTATTCGGACAAGACAATATAGTACCTTGGTTTGAAGTGTTTTGTGATGAGCTTGAAAGCAAGTCTTTTATCTCCTTACAGAACACTTTGCTGGAGTGCTTATGGAGTAGCAGAAATAAAAGTCTGCCATTGTACAGTAGCAGGATGGGTTGTATGGCTTTGCAGGGGACAGGGGGACACCTGTGGCCTGTCGAATTGTTTTTGTTTATCTATTTCTTCACAAAGAAAGGTGATTAGAAAAAGTAAAACCTGAGTAAAGTACTAAACTAAGTAAAAACAGAGGTATGTGAAAAGTAGTGATAATGTCAGTGGTCTGCAAATAGGGCAGCAGACAGTTTTGAAGGGAATAAAACCAGCTTGATGGCAGCGGTAACTATCTGCAGTTGGAGAGCCAACCCACACACTATTTCCCACTACAGCTTTCAATTTAAGTAACAAAATATCTCCAGCTCTTGGGAAAAGTGTTCCCCCCTCTGATCTGAGCCTTTGGGAACAGACCTAATTTTGGAACAATGCGGATCGGGAGCAGGAGAGGTGCGGCTGGTTACGGTGCTGGTTTCAGCTCGCTTTTAGTTCCCAGCAGCTGAGCTGTGGGATACAGCCTGTGCCTGCTCGGCGCGAGCAGCAGCTGAGCAGGGTTTGGTTTCTCTCACTCTTTCTTCCACCCACCTCCATCTCTTCCCTGCCTGTGTCTGTGCTCCCACATGCTTCAAATCTGTGTACCTGGACTGCCTTCCTTAACAGTTCAGCGTGAGTGTTAGCAGAATGAAAACCAGATGGACCAGCAGTTCCCACTGTTATCTCCCCACCAGCTCTGGCAAGCCTCCCTTTCTCTCTCCTTTCTTGGCATGGCAGAAATATTTGCCTTTATTTAGGAGGGCTCAGGCTTACTGCTGTGCCTCTTTCCCTCTGTTGCAACATGAGCTGAAAGCTATTTATTCCCCTGTTGCTGAGGTTGGTTGAGGTGAGTGCGAGATGAATTCAGCTATTAAGGAAGCAATTAACATTTCAAGACTAGTTTTTGTAGTTCTTTATATTAAATGAATGGCTTGTTGAAGATATAGATTTAACTGTTTGAGTGGAGTGATGTGGAAAGGAAATTTTGTATAGAAATATATTTTAAAACCTACTTTTGTTTTTCAGCATGTAGTAATATACTATCTCTTGATTTGCAAATCAAACCTTACCTGTGTGTGAGGCTTAATATTTGGATTTTGGATACTGTTCCCTATGCTACTGAGGTTAGCTAATCTGAGATCCAAACTGCAGATCCTTTTCTACTGTACCTGTATCCCTCATTGTTTTCCCTCCCTCTTCGTCTGATAAATTAAAGTTCTGATGATTAGATTTTTGAGGCTTTTAAAAACACACTGCTCCTTCATAAAGTGCATTTAGTCTCTCTCACATGCAAGATCTTATATAATTTTTTTTCTTTTCCCTGTGAACTTTAATTCTCTGTTCTAACAAAGATACGCGTTCTCAAAGTCAAGCAGCAGAATTTGTAAAATATTCCTGGCTTTACCATTGTTGTAAATTGAAACGGCAAATTCATCTGTTAACCCAATAGTGGTGACGCTTTTTGGCTACGCAGTTTAATGAAGCACATGAAGCCTTGTATAGGACAGTCTGTAAAAAACAAAACAATAATCCTGACCCCAGAAGAAGGTATGCAAGACTCATGCCCATTTAAAGCTAAGCTTCATCTTCACTCAAGATGGCCCACTAAGCTATTGTGTTACTTTTGCTATCCGCTGGTAAATGTTGTCTTTTTTTGCCCATTTTCAATAAATGAAACACAAGGATGTGGATGGTTTTATATTCCTGTTTATTTATTTATCTTTTTTTTTTTCCTCCACATCAACTTTAACACAGAATGATCCAAAAAGATGTTTCTGTAGCATGTATATGAAATATCTGCTAGCTCTTTACTTGCAAGGGAACTGTTAGGTTTTCTGCCTGTTTTTCCTTTTGTTGTTGTTTTTCATGTCTTACAGGTTTTGAACATTAAAGTTGTTCTTGATGTGTAAAGATGTAAACTTTAAAATGTTATGCTTTATTTATTTATTTATTTATTTATTTATCTATTTATTTATTTATTTATATGTATGGTTGGCAATTGACTTATCATTTTGACATGCTTATTCTTGATGGGAATGTGAGAATATCCAGGGGCATGGTGGCAAAGTCATCCGGGAGGCACTGGTATTTAACATAAGTATCTCTCGTTGCTTACAAAGGCATGACAAGAGCTGCCTTCAACCAGTATCCTTCAGCCCAATATCTCACCTGTACTAAAGAGCTTCTGCTTATACTCCTGTAAGGATTGTTGTAAGGGGATTTATTACTTTCCTGTTTCTTCATCTCCTTTTTCCTCCTGGCTGACATTGAAAGGAGGTGGCATTATTGCACTTCCAGGAGTGCTTTGGAGGCAGCATCTGCACATGCTAGAAATGAAAAACAAAAGATAATACAGCACTGCTACAAATGAGGTCTTCTCATCTATGCTGCACCTTCTTAAGTAAGGTTCAGATGATGCAATTCTGCTGGTGCACACTGGAATAGATAACCAGGTGTAATGTTTTGCGGCAGGTGCTGAAATGTCTCACTTCCTGCTTTTGCTTTTAAACTTTTGTTTCAGAGCGGATGTTCTTGGGGAAATAAAATAGTGTGTTCCTATGGTGTGTTACAGATCGCACTGAGAAGCATTCCACAATGCCAGACTCACCTGTGGATGTGAAGACACAATCCAGGCTGACGCCTCCAACAATGCCACCTCCTCCCACTACCCAAGGAGCTCCAAGAACGAGTTCATTCACGCCCACAACGTGTAATTAGAATTATTTTCTTCCTATTCTTCCATATTCTTTCTTTCTGTATGTAAGAAACTAACGTGTGTGAAGGAAAACCTGTATGCAAGGGCTGCAGCAGCATTTGATGATACTGCGATAAGTAATTAAACAAATGTAAAATCACAGCAGGTTAACGGATCTTTAGTCTGTTAAGGTGTTCAGCTCTGAGCTGTGGTAATTTCCCTGTTATTTGAGCGTAGCGTCAAAGAACAGAGAACACTCTTTCCTATGTCAATTTATGCTTAGATCAGTCCTCTGAGAAATGCAGGAAACTCTTAGCTGTTTTGTTGTACAGTTTAAGAGATTCTGTTCACTTCTGTGTATAAAATTCGGTAGTTATTGTTTAGGGCTTTGTTTATATATTTAAAGTGGGGGTTATTCTTAAAGAAAATAGTTTATCCCACTAATGATTGAATGAAGTGCTGTATAATTTCTAGCTAGTAGTGATACAAAAACAAAAATAAAGGCGTTTTGTTGTTTTGTCCTGAGATTTCTAATCTGGAACCACCTCTCTGTCTCAGTTTGCTGATGTAAACACACGGGAAGCTCTACCAGTCGTGGTGGAGTTACTCTGCATTCATATCAGCGTAGCTGAGATTGCGATCTGGCATGTTGTCTGGACTATTCTTTTCACAGTCATGAAATGATCCACGTTTCTCTTACTAAGATTTAGCTGCAATTTTTTTTGGTCTCTTTTTTACTGCCTCGTAATAGTATAAACATGAGAATGTGTTTACATTTCACATTTTAAATAAAACATTTTTAGAACAGTAGAATACATATGCCTAAACAGAATGACGGCAGCATCTTCTATTTGTCTTGCCTATATCTTTTTAGCCTCTTGCTGCCTGTTAAATGCCTTTCTTAAAATTCACCTCTGTGCACGAGGCCAGCTGGAAGCCTTTGTACCACTTATCCCAGTGAACCCTGTCCTGAGGATTTACATCAGACTTAAACAGTGAGGAGCATTTGTGCCAACTCTTTGCATAAACTTAGATTTAACCCAGTGACCCTGATCTTGCAAAGATCTGTTTGTTTTGTTTAACTCCAGCACCTGAATCATCCTAGGAACTGCTCTGAAGTTAAACTGTTTTGAGGGTTTTTTTTTGCTGGATGAGGCTCTTGCAGATTAAGCCTTTCAGTCTAATGTGCTTAGCACAGTTCTGGATGATCTTGGGAAGTGATAAAAGGAATGAGACCATGTTCTTTTCTTTTCTTACAGTCCTCAGTTGAGTATACTCACTAGATTTTCTGGATATTGTTGGAAGGTGTGTGAACCATAACTGTTTTTGGTTGTTTTTGCTGCTGTTGTTTTGGCTATTTATGAAGTCCAAAAGTCTAAAGATCTAATTTTAAATGCATTTTACACCATCAGATTTTGGAGTTCAGCCTTAGCAGTTCCAGCTTGGATACTAAAAAGCCACTTCTGTTTGAGTGCTTGTTACACTTACTGCTACTGCAGTGAGAATGCCTGTAGGCTAAGAAGTGCACGCTTGCTTTCTTGTCAAGAGTACACTTGTTTGCTTTGTTTTAGGCTATTGAAAACTCTTAAAATATATTAGTTTGTTGAAATTCTAAATGCTAAATTTTGCTTTATTAATAACATGGCTATGTTTTACAATAACATAGATGTCTTTGCCAGTTGGCAAATTCAGACATTATAGAGAGATAAAATCATCAGTACTGGGTGGACTATTGCAAATGCAAGTTGTTTTGAAGCAGCTGCTTTTGGGGAATATTTCTTTGTTTATTTTGTTGAAGGAGGAATTTGGTCCGCCGTTCTCCTCATCGTATCTATCCTAGAGAATGAACTCTGCAGTTCTCTACTTTCTTGATCTTAGCCCCATCACTAGGAGCAGTGACTGAATTATTGGATTGCGTGAGGATAGAGCAGGACATATTCTTCCCAGTCCTAATTTACTGAATTCATGGTATGATGAGTTTGGCTATGCAGTTTCCTTGCAACCACCATGTATTTTACTCATGTATCTCACTCTGCTGCTGCACTTAGCGCAGCTTGGAGCTGAACTTTGAGAGGCCAGCTCCTTTCTGTTTCTGCTTTTTCCAGTTCTTGTTTTCCCTAGACCACTCAACCAGATGAGGCAAACAAAACTAGATAAAAACCATGCAGAAACTAGGTAGCCGCTCAGATTGCTGCTTTTCATATTACCACCATAAAGGCCCTTCAATCAGTGGGGCAAGAACCCCTTTAAAAGAAGGGCTGTGATAATCAGTACGTGTCCATCCTCAAAAAGTAGTTACTTGCTAAAAAGAGAGATGATTGTTGGAGAAAGTGACAAATAGAAAAGGGATGTTTGGCTTCAAAGATGTTAATCATTAACAAAGATGAAAAGTTCTTGAAGATGTTCGCTTGTCATGTGCTTTCAAATAGGAAGCAAATTAAGCTACTATCATTCTGCATTTTTATTGTAGGTAAGTTCCTGATTTGTGGTGTCTTATGGTGTGCAGTGATATAAATTAATGTCTTGGTGCTTTGGAGTAGGGAGACAGATTGCACCAAGTGAGTGATACCACAACAAATGATTTCTAACTGACTCCCTAATCAGGAGCCAATAAATTTGCCCAAGGCAATAGCCAGCTGAGTAGCTGCTGCTGGGTATACTTGTGTGCTGCCTGCCCATGCTTCCAAGTGCATTTGTGCATTTTTGTTCAGAGGGAGCCATTATTTTGCTTGTCACTCGCTGTCATTTTGCCTAGTTAGACTCAAGAGCCTGTGCTGCTGTAACCTGGGTGGAAAAAGATATCCTCAGTTTGATTCTGTGCTCGATTCTGGAGTATGGATAAGAATCAAACTAAAACGGTGGCCAGAAATGGTTGTTGTCAAGGTTGCAACCTTGCAACAGGAGGAGAATGCTTTGCTATACTTTTTAGAGATACTATACTGACACATGAAAAGCAGAGTAATTTCCTTGTGGTCTCTGAGAAGTCTTCTTGCAGTTTAGTGTCCTACCTGCAAAACTCTGGGCCACAGCTAGGATGGCACCATTTGTACCTGCACAAACAGCTTAGTGTGCTCCATATGTTAGCAGCTAGGAAATCTGTATCAGAAAAAATAACCTTCTCATTGGGTGGTGTAAGGTTAAAACATGCAAGTCCTGTTTTATAAACACAGCTGTCAGTTGTGTGTACAAAACACGAGTAAAAATATTCAGAGATAAACTGAGGCTTCATGAAATATGTCTGCACATTTTTTTCTACCCCAAAGAACAGTTTTTTTTTTTTTTGTTTTCAGTCATATACGTGCTCACACTCTTTCTCTATTTCTAGTTCCTCTCACTCTCTTTCTCTCTCTTTTTTGTTGTTGATTGTTTGTGGTATTCAAATAATGGTTTTCATTTCAGTTCAGGAGCTCTTTGGGGGGACTGTGTGACAGGCAACTATTGTTACTTCCAGTCTGTACAGTGTTCAGTACCAGATACTATGAAATGGATTTAAACTGTGGACTGTTGCTCTGTCACAAGTTGATTGTGCAACTTAATTAATTTTGAGGTCAAGCACAGAAAATTTTAAGCTGTTTTCCTTCTCTCTCCATCCTTCTCTTTATTTTACCCTCTCTTCTCTTTCTCTTCCAGTAACCAATGGCACAAGCCATTCACCGACAGCGTTAAATGGAGCTCCATCTCCTCCTAATGGCTTTAGCAATGGGCCGTCCTCTTCCTCTTCCTCTTCTCTGGCTAACCAGCAGTTACCGCCAGCTTGTGGAGCTAGGCAGCTCAGCAAACTGAAGAGATTTCTTACAACCTTACAGCAGTTTGGCAATGACATTTCACCAGAGATTGGGGAGAGAGTGCGTACCCTTGTGCTAGGACTTGTGGTAAGCAAAAACCAATGATACAATAACTGTAATTTTTTCTCTCCGTTTACGTCTTCTACGCTTGAAATGTTTATTATATACAAGAGTGTGTTACATATATGGCTTATTCCATACTTCAAGGACACCAAACATGTAAGCATAAAGATCTTGCCCCAGATCTAGCACAAGTAACTTGTCTGTCCATCCATAAGTGGCAGTTATTCTCAACTGGATACAGACTAGAATTGTAGCCAGTGTGGTGTTACAACCAAATGATGTGAAAGGGCTTTTGCTCTTACTGTTGGCAGCCCTGAAGTAGACACAGCCCGAATTATATAATGCAGTAAAATCTGTTTTGGTTTGCCTAGTGTAATTGACTGGGTAAAAAAGAGTGCCACTATACATGTAGCAGCAGAATACTGTCTAAGAGGATGAGATTAATATAATTGGGCTGTGTTTATGCAATGGAAAACCTTTTCTCAGTGTTCGTTGAATCCAGCAATGAGGGCCCTGAACAGGTATTGATGCTACTTAAAGACACATTATTTATAAGATTATGTGATTATATGTCTGAATGATAATTTCAGGTTTTTCTCATCTACAACTGTCAGGTTGGGCTGCTATTTTATAGGCAAACTGTTGTGAATCTGGCCCAGGATTCTTTTTATTCTCATTAAAGTCTTCCCTCTGCCAGACATTGTTGTCTCTCATGTATCTCCTTCAGCAATAATTACACGTACCAGGAAAAATGCTGTTGCGGTGCTCTAACATACATCTGTTTTGAGCAGCTGCAGTTGCCATTGACTTCATTTGAAGCAAAGACTGCCAGCGCTGTTTAGTACGAGGGCTCAGGTGGCTTCCATTTGTATTTTCACAAAACACTACCTGAAAAGCAGTGAAACTCATTCACTCGAGTCTCTGTTAAAAGGAAGGTTAACTTGGGTAGTGGAACTTCAGTTACGTCTCACTCTACATTTGCTTCCACATCCAAAACGCCTATTTAGTATGGTTTTGCATGCTGTGTGGCTTTCTGTGAAAAGATGTGTGAACTGGTGGAGTAAAGAAAGTAAAGACAGCTTTGGGTGCATCTACCCGCCTTTGATTTTCGTAAAATCATTTGATTTTAGTAAAACCTTTGTTATTTACAATTGATTCCTGCGTTGCTAAATTTCACCTGAGCCCTAATGAGCAAACTAGGAACTTTTCCTTGAGAATGGTCATGTATTACTATTCCCATGGCTAAACTTGTGCAGGATGTAGACTTCATGCTTATGTCCTTAGTCACAAAGCAATGACTTCCCGTCACAGTTTACTGGTGCAGTAAGGTGTAATAAGCAACTCTCCGATCAGTACAGTGAGCAATTTTCCTCATCAAACAAAGAGAAACTTGCCTTTAAAAACGAGTATTTTTTGGTATGTGTTTGCATGTTAATTATCACATCTGTACTGGGAAAATAAATACAAGAAGCACTAAGAGAAAACAAAAATTTTTAAAAAATATTGAGAAAAGCAACTTTAACTGGAGTTTGACATCTGAAAATATTTCCATGCTTAGTGCATGAGAGTTTAAACCATATGCTAAGCAACAGGCACTGAATGC